AAAACACCCCAGCCAATCGGAACTGAGCGATTGGCCTGAGTGACGGGGGCAATGCAATTCTCTTCCCCCAGGATGAGTCGAGAGCCAGCAGGATGGGGCTGCAGCAAACAGGGAGCCCAGCCTGCCTTGGAGGTGCTGCAGCCTGCTGGTCTGGAGACACTTAGATAACCTCCTCCCAGCATGCACCTCTCTCCTGCACCCTGGCCCCTCCTGCACCCCAACTCCTCCCCCCAGGTCACCCTCCAAACCCTTTGCACCTCTACCCCAGGTGACAACGCCCTCCCAGAGCCTGTACCTCCTCCTACACCCCTCCCTGCAGGCCAGAATCCTCCAGGGGCGCAGTGACTTTGAATAGCCCTGGGGAGGGGCTCTTTCGAAATAGCAGCAGTGGCACATCCACACGGCGGGGATTCCAAAAAAGCGGTTCCAGAGGTTCCAGAAGAGGCGTTATTCCTCGTGGAATGAGGTTTACAGACGTCGGAATAAGCCGCCCATTATTTTGGTGTCATTTCGAAATAACAGAATGGCTGTGTAGACGCTCGCATTGTTATCTCAGAATAACAGCGGGTATTCTGAAGTAACGGGGCCGTGTAGAGGCACCCTGAGGGCCTAGTCCCAAGTTTGCCTGGCAGCTGTGTGGGAGGAGTGACGGTCAGTTTGGCCTCATTCATTCAAAGAGTCAGAGTAGAGTCAGAAAAAGGAAAGAGCAGGAGAACACACCCAGAAAGGCAGCACTGATTGATACAAAGTGCAATCCGCCCATTTCCCAGCAGAAGGAAGTGAAACTAAACTCTCTGGACTTTGCACCAGAAGCCATGGCTGCTGTGAATCCAGCAAAGACGCTCCAGGATGAAGTGACCTGTCCCATTTGCCTGGATTATTTCAACGATCCGGTGTCTCTTGACTGTGATCACAACTTCTGCCAAGCCTGCATCACGCAGTCCTGGGGGGGGCTCACTGCAGACGTCTCCTGCCCTCAGTGCAGACGGGCCTTTCCCCAGGGGAACCTCAGGCCGAACAGGCAGCTGAGGAGTATTGTGGAGGCAGCCAGAGAACTCAGGTTGCAGGCAGGGAGGGAACGTGCCGCAGAGAGACTGTGTGAGAAACACCAGGAGCCTCTCAAACTCTTCTGCAGGGAGGATGAAATCCCCATCTGCCTGGTGTGCGACAGATCCAAGGGGCACCGAGGTCACACCGTGATTCCTGCCGAGGAAGCTGCCGAAGAATTCCAGGTAGGGAAATGCCGACTGCGATCCCTGCCCTCGTGGGACTGAGGGGAGCACTGGGGAGCAGCTCCCGCCCTGGGAATCTAGCCGATAGGATCAGGGCTGGGACTACAGGAAGCAGGGACGGCCTGGTGATAGGGCACCGCAGCAGGGGACTCCCAGGGCTCTCCCAGCCGGGACTCTCACGACTTTGAGTCTGGAGTTTGGTCTTATCATCCTGAACAATATCCCGGGTCTCTTCTGCCTGCCTCAGGGTCCTCCTCCCTCTGGCCTTCCCTGGGCTTCTGTTTTATCTACCCCAGGCTGGGTTGGATCCCACAACCCCTCACCCTGCCCTTCCTTGTCCCTTCCTGGGGAGGAGAATTGACTACGTCACAAGCGGGGCTGACAACCAATGTGCCTTCTAATATTTTCCATCTGTGTGTGGAATAAATTTTGTTCTGTGCGCCAAGGCATGTGTGTCTGTGCACCACCCGTAGAAACACCTGCTGCCAGCTGTGGGCGACTGGGTGCTCTGCTAATCAGCTGGACAGCACTGGAATCTCTCCTGGCCGGCTGCCCAAGCACCCAGCTTACAGGGACCCTGGTGAGAGCTCCTCCCTTGAAAGGACCAGCCAGCCTGTGCCCAGCCTCCTCCCCACCCACCTCTACTGAGCCACAGGGAGAGAGTCCCAGCCGCAGCCTCATGAACACGACATGCAGCTGGCAGATAAAGAAAGAACCAGGGGTGGGAACGGGGGAGGGATACTGAGGGGTGTTTGCAAACACCTACAATCGCCAGAGCTAGGTCATCATGGGTGGCTGCCAGGCCAGATTTCCACAGTGTCTGCCTGCCTGGCTCAGTCCCTCCTCCATACACCCTCTTTCCTCCCACGCCCCGGCCTCTCTGGAGGTCCCCGATGCTCGCCGTTTCCCTCCTCTCCTCCAGCTCCCTCCCCTGCGAGTCTCCCCCCTGGTACCCCTGCGCATGCAGCCTCTGAGTATGTGACCCCAGCTCCCTACTGTAACATGGTCTGACAATTTCAACCCCCCTGAAAACACTCCTTGGTGTCTGACCCCATAAACCTGCCGGGCCCTGTAGTCGTGAGTACAGTGTGTGGTTGTGCTGGGCCAGCTGTCCCCTAGCTTTGCTGGCAGGACAGTAAAGAAACGGGTTGAACCAAAAATGATCTATTTTTAAAATGATTAGCAAATCTCACATTGGATTTTTTGCTTAGTCACATGGGCTGTGTTTACACTGGCCACTTATTCCGGAAAATCAGCCGCTTTTCCGGAATAACTTGCCAGCTGTCTACACTGGCCCCCTTGAATTTCTGGAAAAGCACTGACGATCTAATGTAAAATCGTCAGTGTTTTTCCGGAAAAACTATGCTGCTCCTGTTTGGGCAAAAGTCCTTTTCCAGAAAACTGTTCCGAAAAAGGGCCAGTGTAGACAACACAGATTTCTTTTCCGCAAAAAAAGCCCCGATCGTGAAAAAGCCCCGATCCTGCCAATCTAGACGCGCTTTTTCCGAAAATGCTTTTAACGGAAAACTTTTCCGTTATAAGCATTTCCAGAAAAGGGTGCCAATGTAGACGTAGCCATGACGTATTTCTGCGTCTCCAGGAAAGGCTCCAGGCCCATCTGAAGACGCTGAGAGCCGAGCGAGAAAAGCTGCTGGGACTGAAAGGGAGCAGAGAGAAGACCAGCCAGGAGTACCTGGTAGGTGCCCGGCGTTATTACCCTGCCGTTGTAGCGAGCTGGAGGAAGCTGATCCTGATTCAGACACTATGGAAGCAGCTGATTCTGAATCAGACACTAAGGAGCAGCCAGGACAATCTAGGGACTGGATTACGGTTTCTCTTGATTAGCTGGGGAAAGAGCACCTAGAATCCCTCTTTAGGGTTGGGCCCTAAACCAGCCGCTTCCAACCTCTGTGCATTTGTGGACCCCTTTAGAAATGTCAAAGGGAGGTTCTGTGACCCCTTTGAAAATCGATTGTCTGTGTGAACAGCTGAATTCCGTCCAGTCTAAGTCTTTTGCTGGCATGGTCCATAGCCCCCCGGGGCGCGAAGACCACAGGTCGGAAACCACTGTCTCACTCTTCTGTCAACTGGTATTCTGATCTACAGTCTGTTAACTACGATTAGCTTAATTAAACTCACTTCACAAGCAAGAATTGATATTAACGAACAGACAGAATTCGGAATTAGATAGTGCCATGCCCTAACCCAAAAGCCCCAGCGAAACACAGTCACTTCTCCGTTCCCAGCCTCCCTCAGGCCAGAGTTTGCAGGACGTTAAGTTACATCCGGAGGAGTCGTCTTGTGCAATCTCTGTTTGCTGTTGTCAGTTCTATCTTCAATAACTAAATCAAAGCCCAGGTTCCTGGCTGTCCCGTGGTGAGTCCTGTCCCTCCTCTCCTTTCTGGTGTAGTCCCTTTGTGCCCCAACAATTTCTCCATTCCTGCCGTTCACCGTGGGTGTCTGCTTTTTCTCTCACTGTTTCATTTGTTTGTTTCTTCTCGCCTGTCTCTGTGAACGTGATTCTGGCTATGTCTACACTGCCCCTTTCTTGCGGAAAAACATATGCAAATGAGGCTACGCGTGGAATATCGCTGTGCCTCATTTGCATAATTAATGAGGTTCCAGTTTTGCACAGAAAAAACCCCCTCTTGCACAAGATCTGTTCTTCTGGGGGAAAAATGCAGAACAGCTCTTGCTCAAGAGGGGGGTTTTGTGCAAAAAGGAGCCATGTAGACGGCTCCTTTTTGTGGAAAAGCCTCTTGTGCAAAACTGGAGCCTCATTAATTATGCAAATGAGATGTGGCGATATTCCACTCCTAGCCTCATTTGCATAAGTGTAGACATAGCCTCTGAGTAGAGTTGTGCAAATGCCAGGTCTTCTTCACTGGCAGGATATTAAAAACATTGTTTGAACCAAACATTATCTATTTTTAAAATTATTAGCAAGTCACAAATTTGATTTTTTTGCTTCGTCAAATGATTTATTTTTGGGGGGCAAAAATCAAAATGCTTTGTTTCAACTTGAGCCTTTGCTTAAAAAATAATTTTTATAAAACAGAAGGACAGTTGCAAAAAGAAGTCAGACTTTAAAATCTAGAAACAATTAAGAAAATATTTTGATTTATCATGTATTTATTTCTGTAGCACAACACCGCGTTGATGTTGTCAGTAATTCATGAAATGTTTCTTTGGCAGCAAATCTGCATTTTCCCAGAAAAAAATGTAAGACAGAAAATGTCACCAAGGTGTGGTGCCAAGTCCTGCTCCCTGCTGCTTTGGATCGGCATCGCTGAGGCCATGAGCCACTCGTGATCCAACGCACGTCAGCTACGGAAACGTCCTTTATGAAATTCTGGGGCCAAACGGGGAAACCTTGAGAAAATTCTCGCTAGTAACCGCAGGAGACTGTTCACTGTCTGACTTAGAATTTGCAGAGATTCTCCTGCACACTCAGCGCTCTGTGAAGGGCCCCAGGCTCCATCCATATCCCCCTAGCGGTGGCGATGTTCATCCTTTGGTTCTTTTTCTTCCAGAAACGGACACGAGCCGAGCGGCAGAAGATTGTGGCCGAGTTTCAGCAGCTGCGGCAGTTCCTGAAGGAACAAGAGCGACTCCTGCTGGCCCAGCTGCAGAAGCTGGACGAGATGATCGTGAAGGCACAGACTGACACTGTCACCAAACTCTCAGAGCAGATTTTCCAACTTAGCGAGCTGATCGGGAAGCTGGAGAAGACTTATCAGAAGCCAGCGAGTGAATTCCTGCAGGTGAGGCGGAGGGGGAAATCCCCCAGCTCCCACCACAGAGACAGGACAGCTCCTAACAGGTGGGCACAGGAGTCAGAGGTCGCAGGGCAGCTCCGTGGGTGCCTTCCCGGCATGCGAATTGTTGTTTTGAGATGGCAACGCCCCATTCGCTCAGGGATCCATGGCCCTGGGGCCAGGCAAAGCCTAGTTCCCCCTCACTCGCCAAATCCCTCCCTTCCAATTCACAGTGTGTGTCAGGTGGGACTGAAACTCTCTCTCTCTCTCTCTCTAGAACATCAGAAGCACTTTGAACAGGTAGGTGGCTCTCTCACCCCCTCACACGGCACAACGCCGGGGAATCCTGAGGCCCTCGCCCTTTTAGAGACGACTCTGGAATTACTCAGGGAAAGACGCAGACTGGCCTGTGGTATATTCCACCCATGCCCCCTCCCTGGGGACTGGCTGCCCCAGGACTGAGGGGTGGGACATGGGCCTGTCCCTGCTGGGCGCTGGGCACCATTCAGTCCAGGGCAGCAGAAATCCAGGGTTTTTCCCGCCCAAAGGCTGTTTGGAGACCTGTGCGGGATGAGCTGGGGAGAGGGAGTTTGTGTCTCAGTTTCGTTCCTAGTGGGCAGATTTTACAGCCCTTCCCCTGGGAACCTCCCGTCCCTCAGCGCCTGGAGGCCCAGGAGGGAGTTGGCCGCGGAGACCCAAATACCCACGAACCAGAATTTAAGAACTGAGTCAATCAAGGCAGGATCACAGCGGTTCCCCACCTGTGAGGCACAGATCCCTGGTGGTCCACCACGGTACTGCAGGGGGTCTGTGGAAAGTTTAAAAGTAAGGATGGGGCCCATGGCGGTGGGCCCGATCCTTCTTTTTCTTTTCTTACTTTCCCTTTTCTTTTTTTTCTCCCCCACGGAGGCGCGGGAGTCCGTGAAATTTTCATAGATGGAAAAGGGGTCCAAAGGCTGGGAACCACTGCAGGGTCACCATGGAACGTCGTTTCTCCCCAGGTGTGAGGAGAGGCAGGCCCAGCAGCCGGAGGAGATGGCTCCTGAACTGGAAGAACAAGTCCGTGGTTTCTCCCAGAAAGTGATTGTGCTGTCGGAGACGCTGAGGGAGTTCAAAGGTACCGAGGGGGGATGGAGGAGAGGAAAGTGAGACCCTGGAAGGAGAATGGTGCTGGTCAATTGGTTCATTATTAGATGATGCTTCCATGTATCTGGGGGGGGGGGTGAATGGCACAGACTTGGGTTCCAAGATGGGGGTCTGTGCCCCACAGGTTGGGACCCGCTGTGATCCTGCCTTGAGTGACTCAGTTCTTAAGTTCTGGTTAGTGAGTATTTGAGTCTCCTCAGGTTGATTAATTCAAACCCTTGTGTGTTCAGAAGCAGCCTTTGCAATGACAGTGACGGTGACAGTGAGAAACAACCCAGAAAAGCCCTTATGTCTCGCAGAACGAAATATACAGGGCTCCCCGAAAGGGAATCTCTGCTCTTCCGCGAAGAAAAGCGGAAGAATGAACGCGTTCCCTGGACACGGCTGGGTTTATCCGGGATATCTCCTGCTAAACCCAGGGTTGTGAGTTCAATCCTTGCAGAGGCCATTTAGGGATTTGGGGCAAAAATTTGTCAGGGATGGTACTTGGTCCTGCTGTGAAGGCAGGGGACTGGACTCGATGACCTTTCAAGGTCCCTTCCAGTTCTAGGAGATAGGCATCTCCATTAATTTAATTTATCCTGGAAAACCCCCATAGCATAGACATAGACTGAGAGAGCTGAGGATGGGGGACTGGGCAGGGTATGGGGAAGAGGGACTGAGAGACAGAGAGGTGTTCCTGAGAGGGCTGGGGATGGAACAGGGATGGGGAGGGTGAGTGGAAGAGGTGGGGGAGGAAGGACAGAGAGACGTGGGACATGGGACGTGCAACACTGCGTCCCTGGCTCTCTGCTCCCTGGCCCAGGCACCTGGGGCCATTGTAACTGGGCTGCAACTCTGCCCTAGCCAGACCTGGCTCCGGCCTCCCTGCCCTGCTCTGCCGGCACAGGGTGATTCTGGCCCACGGAGCCCACCGCCCCCTGCCTCAGTTTCCCCTGGGATAAAGTGATTTTCTCCTGGTTCCGATTGCTGCCTCTGGAGGCCCCGTCGTGCTGCTCTGTGTGGAGACGCTGAGCAAACAGCCCCGCAGCTCCCGGCCAGAGCCAGGAGTTCACACACAATCCCTCGCCTCCCGTGAGCCTCACAGGGACCAAAGTGTCTTTGATGCCAACGGCTCTGCAGGACCTGGGCCTAGGGAACGACAAAAGGCGGGAAGTGAAGGAGGCCTGAGTGTGTCTGTCACGTGACAACCCAGCTCTCGTCTCCCCGTGCAAACCTGAATCTCCCCTTCCTGCCTTCCCCTCCAGGCACGCTGCCGGCTGCCCTGGGGGCGCAAAGTGGGGAACCCCTAAGAGCGCACGGACCAGGTGAGCTGCCTCAGTGTCGCATGCGGAACCTGCCTTGGGCTCCCCTCGTTCTCTGGTGCAGGGGGGCCAAGAGGGGAGTTTCACTTCCCCCCCGTGACTATGGGGCTGTGCCCAGCGTGGACTCTGGGGCACGCAGGGACGTTGCTCTTTCTCCTGCCCCCGGCAGAGGACCCAGGAGTCCATGGGAGGGTCCCTGTTCTGCTAGGGGAAGGGATGGATCAGACCCCAGAGCACCAGGACACGGGGCACAGACAGGGGCAGTCCGGGCCCATGGCAGGCAGCTGGGGAGCTGCTGAGAGCAGAGCTCTGGTCCTGTTTCCCTTTTCCTCTCCCCCCGCGTGAGCTCAGCTTCTCTCTCCCTCCGCCCAGCCCCTGCTGGGACCCCCCTCAGCTCCCTGGGGCCCCTCTTCCTTCTGTCACCCCTAAGTCAGCCTCCTGCCATGGCCGGGACAGAGACCCCCCCGTTCCCTCCGCACGGCGCCTGGGCACCCCCAGGGCAGGACTCGCCTTGTTCAGCCTCTTCCCGCCCCGCCCAGCTGGGGCCGGTCCCTGCCCCTCCCTGCTGGCTCTGTGGGGTCCGGGCGCCGGGCCGGAGGCTGAGCAGCCTGGTGGGGGCAGGTCGGAGCTCGGCCCAGAGCCCCAGTGCGGCGGGAAAGGAGCCGAGCCCAGACGGGCCGTGGGGGGGAGACGTGTCCCAGGGGGAATCACAAACCCTGCCCAGATCAGCTGGGACCCAGGGGCATTTCAATGGGGGGGCCCAGCCGAGGGCGGGGCCTGGATTCAGCCAGACCCACAACCCCTGCCCAGAGGCAGCTGGGACCCAGGGACATTTCAATGGGGAGGGGCCTAGCCGAGGGCAGGGCCTGGATTCAGCCAGCCCTGACCAGGCAGTTTCCATCCGTCCCTCTGGGGTCCCGGCCCAGGGAGAGGGGGGCAGATTCCCAGTGTCAGGGCCCCTCTGACCCCTTCTCTCTGCCACGGCCCCTCCCTGCCGGGGAGTGAGCTGCCCCTTGGGCTGGGCCGCTGCTCCCCACTCAGAGCAGAGCACCCTGGGAGGCAGGAGAGTCCCTGAGTCACGGCCCAGCTGGGGCAGATTCTGTCCCTAGCACCATCGACCCCCCCAGGGCCGAGCTCTGCCCCTCACGCTCCGATTCTCCCCCAGCCAACGTGACTCTGGATCCAGACACGGCGCATCCCCAGCTCCTCCTGCACAGGGACGGGAAACGTGTGAGATGGGAACAGAGACGGCAGCCACGGCCCGACCCCCCGGAGAGATTTGACTCTGTGTTCTGTGTGCTGGGCCGGGAGGGCTTCACCTCGGGGCGACATTGCTGGGAGGTGGAGGTGGGGGACGGGCGATTCTGGGCTGTGGGGGTGGCCAGAGAGTCTGTGGGCAGAAAGGGAGGGATCATCCTGGGCCCCCGGGGCGGGATCTGGGCTGTGCGGTGGTGGGGGGAAGAGTTCCAGGCTCTGACAGATCCTGCGACCCCCCTGTCCCCGAGTCTCAACGACAGGATCCGGGTTTGCCTGGACTGTGACCGGGGGCAGGTGACATTTATCGATGCTGGTTCCAAGGCCCCGATCTTCACTTTCCCGCCGGGCTCCCTCCCTGGGGAGAGAATCCGACCCTGGGTCTGGGTGGGGTCAGGATCCCAGCTCAACCTGTGCCCCTGAAATCAGCCTCTGGCATCACGCACACCAGGATCTATGACCGTGGAGGACTCCCCTCTACTCAGCCCCTGGCTCCTCATCTCTATGATCCCTGAAACCTCCTTCCCTGCAGCCCCAGGGATGGAGGGGCGCATGGGGGAAGAACCCCTGGGTCTGCAGGAGGGGCAGAGGTGGGGGCTGGGCAGGGAAAAATCTAACAGCCGGGCTGGGTACAGGCAGAGGTGGTGGCTGGGCAGGGGACAGATTTCACAGCCGGGCTGGGGACAGGTAGAGGTGAGAGTCAGCCAGGCACAGAACTAACAGTCGGGCTGGGGAGAGGTAGAGGTAGGGGTTGGGCAGGGGACAGAATTCACAGCCGGGCTGGGGACAGGCAGAGGTGGGAGCTGGGCAGGGGACAGAATTCACAGCTGGGCTGGGGACAGGCAGAGGTGGGGGTCAGGCTAGTGCCGGGCAGTAAACAATAAAACCAGACTAAAGGGCGAGTCCTGGTGAAATGTTGCCACACAGGGAAGGAAAGCCAGGCCGTCCAGTGTCTATGGCAGGAAAACCACCCTGGGGCAGCCGGAGAGGAAGGGATATATTCAAGGGAGCAGCTGCGTGGGATGGTCTGTGACAGGGAAGGCCGGAGAGTGGGAGAGTCCCAGGAAAATAAACAGGGCACGGCAGAGAAATGCCGAGTGCAAAGGACAGACCAGGCAGCATGGGAAAGAAGGAGGTTCATTCAATGTAACTGCAAAGGAGACTGTGGCTCAGTGGTTCCCAAACTTTTCAGCATCACTCGCCCTTTTTGACGTTTGAGAAACTCTCTTGCCTCACCACCTCTTCTTTACCATCATCCAACCCTCCCCCCCTTAACAAAAAAATCAATTTGTAATTAAAAATCAACACAAGCACTTGGTATACAGAATTTGATTTAAAATTAAAAATACGCACAAATAGGTTTTCTTGGCACAAAACTTGAGTAAAAATCTAATGTAACATGAGAAATCGCAGAAACTAAACACATTTCATGGGACAGAGGATGCTGCGTGTTCTTCGCGAGTTGGGACATCCTAGGTTTGAAATGAGGGAGGGAGGGATTTGGGTGTGGGAAGGGATGAAAGGTGCAAGCCCTGGGAGGGAATTTGGGTGCAGAAGGAGGTGGAGAAGGGGATGCTGGCTCAGAGAGAGGGCTCCAGGATGGGGAGTGTTGGGGTCAGGTGGAGGGTTGGGGTGCTGAGCAAACAGGCTTGTGGACATGAGGGTGTAGGAGTTCAGGTTGGAGGTGTGTGAGAGGCTCAGGGCAGGGGGGCTGGGAGTAGGATGGGCTCAGGACACATTTGCAGTGTGTGGATGGTGCAGGAGTGTTGTGGCAGAAGACTGGGGATGTGCGAGGCTCAGGACGGGGGATTCCGGTGTGTGATAGGGCTCAGGGTTGGGTTTGTGCGGGGATGCAGGGGTGTTATGTTGTTGTTGTAGCCTGATGGGGGTTTGGCCCCACTTGGGGGCTTGTTGGCCTGGCTTCATTTTTTAAAATGTAATGTCCGACACAAACGTTTCAGCATTGTCTCTATTTACAGGAGGGGCAGGGAACCTGTTTTGAGTCAGGGGTCACTGACCCACAGAAAAATCAGTCAGGGACCACACAAGTGAGATTAAAAAAAAACCCAACCCCTCCAAGCCTCATTGATGTGGCCCCAACTGAGACACCTCCCTCCCCACTCTGGATCCAGACACGGCGCATCCCCAGCTCCTCCTGCACAGGGACGGGAAACGTGTGAGATGGGAACAGAGACGGCAGCCACGGCCCGACCCCCCGGAGAGATTTGACTCTGTGTTCTGTGTGCTGGGCCGGGAGGGCTTCACCTCGGGGCGACATTGCTGGGAGGTGGAGGTGGGGGACGGGCGATTCTGGGCTGTGGGGGTGGCCAGAGAGTCTGTGGGCAGAAAGGGAGGGATCATCCTGGGCCCCCGGGGCGGGATCTGGGCTGTGCGGTGGTGGGGGGAAGAGTTCCAGGCTCTGACAGATCCTGCGACCCCCCTGTCCCCGAGTCTCAACGACAGGATCCGGGTTTGCCTGGACTGTGACCGGGGGCAGGTGACATTTATCGATGCTGGTTCCAAGGCCCCGATCTTCACTTTCCCGCCGGGCTCCCTCCCTGGGGAGAGAATCCGACCCTGGGTCTGGGTGGGGTCAGGATCCCAGCTCAACCTGTGCCCCTGAAATCAGCCTCTGGCATCACGCACACCAGGATCTATGACCGTGGAGGACTCCCCTCTACTCAGCCCCTGGCTCCTCATCTCTATGATCCCTGAAACCTCCTTCCCTGCAGCCCCAGGGATGGAGGGGCGCATGGGGGAAGAACCCCTGGGTCTGCAGGAGGGGCAGAGGTGGGGGCTGGGCAGGGAAAAATCTAACAGCCGGGCTGGGTACAGGCAGAGGTGGTGGCTGGGCAGGGGACAGATTTCACAGCCGGGCTGGGGACAGGTAGAGGTGAGAGTCAGCCAGGCACAGAACTAACAGTCGGGCTGGGGAGAGGTAGAGGTAGGGGTTGGGCAGGGGACAGAATTCACAGCCGGGCTGGGGACAGGCAGAGGTGGGAGCTGGGCAGGGGACAGAATTCACAGCTGGGCTGGGGACAGGCAGAGGTGGGGGTCAGGCTAGTGCCGGGCAGTAAACAATAAAACCAGACTAAAGGGCGAGTCCTGGTGAAATGTTGCCACACAGGGAAGGAAAGCCAGGCCGTCCAGTGTCTATGGCAGGAAAACCACCCTGGGGCAGCCGGAGAGGAAGGGATATATTCAAGGGAGCAGCTGCGTGGGATGGTCTGTGACAGGGAAGGCCGGAGAGTGGGAGAGTCCCAGGAAAATAAACAGGGCACGGCAGAGAAATGCCGAGTGCAAAGGACAGACCAGGCAGCATGGGAAAGAAGGAGGTTCATTCAATGTAACTGCAAAGGAGACTGTGGCTCAGTGGTTCCCAAACTTTTCAGCATCACTCGCCCTTTTTGACGTTTGAGAAACTCTCTTGCCTCACCACCTCTTCTTTACCATCATCCAACCCTCCCCCCCTTAACAAAAAAATCAATTTGTAATTAAAAATCAACACAAGCACTTGGTATACAGAATTTGATTTAAAATTAAAAATACGCACAAATAGGTTTTCTTGGCACAAAACTTGAGTAAAAATCTAATGTAACATGAGAAATCGCAGAAACTAAACACATTTCATGGGACAGAGGATGCTGCGTGTTCTTCGCGAGTTGGGACATCCTAGGTTTGAAATGAGGGAGGGAGGGATTTGGGTGTGGGAAGGGATGAAAGGTGCAAGCCCTGGGAGGGAATTTGGGTGCAGAAGGAGGTGGAGAAGGGGATGCTGGCTCAGAGAGAGGGCTCCAGGATGGGGAGTGTTGGGGTCAGGTGGAGGGTTGGGGTGCTGAGCAAACAGGCTTGTGGACATGAGGGTGTAGGAGTTCAGGTTGGAGGTGTGTGAGAGGCTCAGGGCAGGGGGGCTGGGAGTAGGATGGGCTCAGGACACATTTGCAGTGTGTGGATGGTGCAGGAGTGTTGTGGCAGAAGACTGGGGATGTGCGAGGCTCAGGACGGGGGATTCCGGTGTGTGATAGGGCTCAGGGTTGGGTTTGTGCGGGGATGCAGGGGTGTTATGTTGTTGTTGTAGCCTGATGGGGGTTTGGCCCCACTTGGGGGCTTGTTGGCCTGGCTTCATTTTTTAAAATGTAATGTCCGACACAAACGTTTCAGCATTGTCTCTATTTACAGGAGGGGCAGGGAACCTGTTTTGAGTCAGGGGTCACTGACCCACAGAAAAATCAGTCAGGGACCACACAAGTGAGATTAAAAAAAAACCCAACCCCTCCAAGCCTCATTGATGTGGCCCCAACTGAGACACCTCCCTCCCCTGGCATCCCAGCCCCATGTCGGGGAGGGTACGTAGGACTGAGGTTCAAAGCCTCCAGCCAGATTAACTCTTCTGGGGTTCCAGGGTTAGAGAAATTTGTGGGCCCCTCTACATTCTGAGGTAGAGCCGAAAATGAGGGATCCAGTGTGCCAGTGAATGGGATAGGGATGGGGTGCAAAGTCTGGGTGGAAAATAGGGTACAGGAGCAAGCTGTGTCTGGCCAGGAGGGAGGGGGTAGGAGCACAATGCCGGTGGTTATCTGGCTAGGAGGCAGGGGCGGAGTGCTGGTGGGTGTCTGGCCCCAAGGCAGGGGCAGGTGCGTCTGGGCAGGGAGCTGGATGGGGTCTGGCTAGGGGACAGGAGCAGGGTGTAAGTGGGGCCTGAGTAGGGGACAGGAGACAAGGTGCTGGTGGGGCCCAGGGGAGGGGACAGGTGGGAGTCTGGGCAGGGGGCAGGGTGCTGGTGGGGCCCAGGGGAGGGGACAGGTGGGAGTCTGGGCAGGGGGCAGGGTGCTGGTGGGGCCTGGGGCAGGGTACTCATGGGGATTTGGGCGGGGAGGGCATAGGAGCAGGACTCATGGGGGTCTGGGCAGAGGGGGAAAGGGAGACAGGGTACACATGGGGATCTGGGCAGGGGGCAGGATACTCATGGGGGGCTTGGCGGGGGGGGGGGACAGGGACAGGCTGG